ATGGCACAGTCTTGGCTCACTGCAACCTCTGGCTCCCGAGTTCAAGCGATTCTCTTGCCTCAGCCTCCCTTGTAGCTGAGACTACAGGCATTCGCCACCATGCTTGGCTAATTTTTGTATTTTTAGTAAAGACGGGGTTTCACCATGTTGACCAGGCTGGTTTTGAACTCTTGACCTCAGGTGATCCACCCGCCTCAGCCTCCCAAAGTGCTGTAATTATAAGCATGAACCACCATGCCCGGCCTTACATCTCCTTTCTTGTATAACCTTTTTACTCTGCAGGTGATAGTTGAATTTATTTTTACATGTTAATTCTTTACCAAGTTCTTCAATAGAACTCTTAAACTCTTCTCAGAGTAACCAAACATGACAAGAAATGTAGCAGCGGTTTTTTCCCCTTGAACTCATCTCTCTGCGACCCCTTGCTTGCCTTCTCTAGTCTGGGTCTGTTGCAGAACTGTTGATGATCCTCTCATCAACCAGAGAACTCTGTGTTAGACTTCTGCTTACTAGGTTTCATTTCTACCTATGTCTTGGTTTGCTCCCTTGTTTTGATGCAACTTAACCCTCAGGAGTTTTCTAAGAAAAAATATAAGGAAAATGAATATTCTGAATTTTGTCATGCCTAAGAACACCTTTTATTCCATCCTTACACTTGATTGAGAGTATGACTAGATACAGAATTTCAGTCTAAAAGAAATTTCCTGGAGAACTTTGAAAGATAATGAAGATTCCATTATTTTCCAGATGCTAGTGCTGCTGTTGAAAAGTTTTATACTCTGATTCTTGATGTTTTTCTTTTGAAAGATTTTGAAAATCTTCTCTTTTCCTAGGTATCTATAAATTTTATAATTATGTTCCTTGATGTAGGTCTTTTGTATTAACGTTTGGACAGTAAGTGGGCCCTCTTTTCATGGAAACTTCAATTTAAGGTAACTTTCCAATATAGTTTCATTTATAATTTCTTCCCATTCATTCTTCTCTTTCTCTTTTCAAAATGTGTATCTGTTGGACCTTCTGGACTGAGTCTTTCTGCTTTTAATATATCCTATTTTCTGACAACTTAACTTTCCAGGTCAACTGTTGAGTGTTTAATTTCAGCTGTGATATTTAATTTTCAAGAAATTTTTCCAGTTCTGAGTACTCTTTTACATTTTTAAGCTTTTGTTTTTTTGCATTTTGTTAGTTTTTTTGGATGTAAAATATGTCTTATTTATGTTTTTAAATAAATTCCTAAATAAATAATAATACATAATTCCTAACTAAATAATTAAATAAATAAGACATACTTTACATCCAAAATTATATTCTTATATTTAATTCTTACATTTATTTATTTGTTTAAATAAATAAAAGAAGGCATAGTCTGTTGCCCAAGCTCAAATGCAGTGGTACAATCATGCATCTCTGCAGCCTCAAACTCCTGGGTTCAAGTGATCCTCCTTCCACAACCTCCCGAGTAGCTGAGACTGTAGGTGCATGCCACTGTGTCCAGCTAATATTTTTATTTTTATTTTTTGTAGCGTCAGGGTCTCATTATGTTGCCCGGTCTGGTCTTGAATGCCTAACCTGAAGGAGTCCTTCTGCCTCAGCCTCCAAAAGTGTTGGGATTATGGGCACAAACCACTGTGCCCAGCCTCTTCTTATTTTTAAAGAATGTTCATGTTAAGTATGCTTTAGTTTATTTTAGCATTTTCTTTTGCTTCTAGAATTGTCTCTAGTTCCTCAAAGTCTGTCTTTTGGTCTCTGTTTTTCACACTGCAATCTTTTCAAAAATATTTGGTGACTTTGCAATGTGCAATCTGCTTAAGAATGAGAGACAAGAAAGCAGGCTGGAAGCTCTCATGTGTGTAGCCAGGGCTGGTGAATTGACCTTCACTGCAGGGAGGTGGGGCACATCCCACACCCTTCATGTGATATATTAATCAGGATGAGATCTGGTTGAATGTAACACAAAATCCCAAAATAACAGATGCTTAGGTAAATAATAATTTATTTTTGCCTCACATTAAAAAAATGCCCAGATTTGGAAGCCTAGGGTTGGTATAACAGCTCCATATCATCAGAGATAGGCAACTTTGCTATACCACTCTCAGTATCTACTTTGCTATATCACTTTCAGTGCAATGCTTCATGATCTACATGCCATCTCAACCTCTAGTCATTATATCTGCATTACAGTCAGAAAGAAGGAGGAAGGCAGAGAAAAAGTAATTTTCCAGAAGCCCCACACAACATTCTGCTTACACATTTTGGCTGGAAGTAAACACATGGCCATATCTAGCTATAATTATAGCTATAAGCAAGGCTACAAAACCTAGTCTTTTAGCTGGATGCATTGCTACCTCAAACAAAATTGGAGTCTCATTGCAGAAGAAGTGGAGAGTGGAGGTCAAGATAGGTCATTAGTAGCCCTGCCACATTGAGATTTCTCCAATGTTGGTATCTAAGTTACTCCAGAGAAAACTCATGCAATTTCCCATCATTTAAATCTCCAAGGAACTAAATTGTAGGAGATTCTACTGATGTCTTCTGTCATATACCCCCAGCATTAATTTAGTTGCAGAAGGGATGGACTGGTTTGTGTAACTCACTTTGGTCTAACAAAGTGCAAAAGTAATTGTGATCACAATTACTTTTGCACCAACCTAATACAACTTTAAGCACAGGCTGTGTGTCTTTTTGCTTTCTGCCCAGAGCATTGAGATGCCATCAAGACTGCCAGGACAGCATGAGAGTACAGCCTAGAACTGTAAAGACGTTAACACTGTCAGGGACCATTCTCATCCAATGGGGAATGGAAACTGAGGGATGAATGTTCCAGCCTCCTGCTCACTGGAGATGTGAACATTGGAAGCTGGTCTACAGGCTTCTCAGAGGCCCCTGGTAGAATTGAGCTTCAATTGCTTGTAGCAGAAACCTTGGTAACACATCATTGTATTGGTTTTTCCTCCTTCCCTGCCTCACTCTGCTTGCTGCCTCATCTTGGGACTGTGTCCTGAAAAAAGTAAATGAACCACTATCTTAACTTAGGCTTTGCTTTTGAACAAATTCAACCTAAGACATATATGAATCTCATTGTTGAAATTCTAAGCTTAGACCAGGCATGGTGGCTCATATCTGTAATCCCAGAACTTTGGGAGGCCAAGGCAGGAGAATCGCTTGAGATCAGGCATTTGAGACCAGCCTGGGCAACATAGTGGGGCTGTATCTTTACAAAATAAAAATAACTGGGCATGATGGTGTGTGTCTGTAGTTCCAGCTACTTGAGAGGCTAAGGAAGGGGCATCGCTTGAGGCCAGGGGGTTGATGCTGCAGTGAGTTGTGATTATACCACTGTACTCCAGCCTGGGTGACAGAGCAAGACCCTGTCTCAAAAATAAATAAATAAACAAAAAATAAATACATTCTAAGCTTAGATCTTTACATATCTCGTGTTCATTCGAAACATCAATGTAACAGCTGGAAAATACTACATGTTGTCAACAAGAGAATTTTTTTTAAAGGAATAACTCTTTGAATGCTTTATTACACTTCATTTTGTAGTTCATTGTCTATGACTCTGTCAAATGTGGTTAAAAATATATGAAATCAGTTCTCATCTCAAAGATGTATAGATGAGGTTTGAGCCAAGAATCTATCATAGTAAGCTAGCACAACTAGCAGGTGCTCTGAGAAGATAAAACACTCATTTTCATGCCTGTAGTTTCCTAAAACTTTTATAACCAACATTATAGAAAGTTTTAAAAAACATGGTAGTCTGAAATTGATTCTATGATTAAAAATGGAATATTCAATTCTTATAGGTCCTTTTGTACTTGTTACATTGATGTGATGACTTGCTTATATGTCTCTCTCACTTTCCTTAGCACCACCCCATTAATTCTTACCTCTGAATCAATCAGTGAATGTAATCAGAGTACATACTTGTGTCAGTTTTCTTATTTTGTAAAATAAGTTGCCAATAATGTATTAATGAAATTTTTGAGGATCTCATATATTTATAAAATATTTCAGACACTGTGAAGCAATATCTATAATTTATTATCAGTATTATAATAATTCTGACACAAGAATAAATGGCTGCAAATATACCTAAAATTTGCTATTCCTTTTTATACTTTTGGTGAATTATGTGGTGATACTTTAAGAAATTAGAAGCAAATCACAACTCAGTCATTTAAAATAAAAATCTTTAATTTGAACTTATTTAATAGATTTTTTACATTTTCGAACCAGATTAAAGATGCCAAATTAAATATCTGTGGGATTTAAAAACTTTAACAGAAAAAGAAAATAGAAGGTACTAGTGAGAAATATATTTTACAGTCCACATATTTATTGCATAATAATCTATATTCTAATAACAGCAAATATAACATTATAATGATTTTAACATCTGGACTAGCTAGACATGGTCCCATAAGTCCTACAGTTCTTAACAAAGAAACCCATCCATTAGCAAACTTATGCGTCTAAGCTCAGTTTAATGCAACTTAATGAGACATTGAATTTTATGCAGTAAATCCCAGTTATCTATAGTGTGTGCGCTCCTGAGTACCCCAGGAAATAAAGAACTGAGGAACATCAGATCCACCCAGCCCATTTATTTGGACTGTAGAAGAAGAGAGCCAGGAGGAGGGAGGAGAGGAAGTAATGGTCTCTTTCAGCTGCTATCCTGGGAAGATGCCTAGTAGTCCTTAGCAAGGGCTCCACATCAACATTCTGTGTTGATTCATTTTCCTAAGTGTAGATGCACTGTGTTTAGTACATCGTGTCTAGGGTTGCTATAATAAAGTACTACAAACTTGGTGGCTTAAAACAAAAGAAATTTATTCCCTCACAATTCTGAAGGATAGAAGTCTGAAATCTGCAGGTGTCAGCAGGGTAATGCTTAAAGGCTATTGGGGGGAATCCTTCTTTGCCTCTTCCAAGCTTCTAGTGGTGGCTTACAGTCCGTGGCATTCCTGGCTTGGAGATGTGTCATTCCAATCTCTGCCTCTGCCTTCACATGGACTCCTCCCTTAGGTGGCTATGTCTCTCTTCTTCTTATAAGAACAACAGTCATAATGGTGACTCTCTGAGAAATAAGGCCCACCCTAATTCAGTATGCCCTCACCTTAACTAATTCACCTGCAAAGACCTTGGTTCCAATTAAGCTCACATTCATAGGCAACTGGGGTTAGAACTTCAACATATCTTTTATGGGAGACACAATTCAACCCACACAATATATCATCCATATTTCTTTCCAAGAGTAGAAAACAGCAACAGCATCATATTTTCTGTAAAGGCAAAGGGTACTGTCTAGGTTGCTTATAACAGTTACTTCTAACCAAAATCTAGTTCTAAATTGCATGTAGAAGATATACATAGGACATTTAAAGAGAGAGACTGAGGTATATCTGAAGTCAGACAGGCAAATAATAAGATAATAAATTTTAGAAGTCAGATATATAAGTATTGAAATAGTAAATATTGAAGTGACAAAAGGCTTACTTTCCTTCTCTTTGAAGGATTCGCTGATTTAAGATGGAATGTGTAAGAAGTGATTAATCCTCTGCAAACAGTGGAATATTCCAAACATATTTTACTGAAAACAGGCAGAATGAATACAGTGATGGCAAAGAATGAGTTAATATTGAGAAAAGTATAAATAGGACACAGTGTAATGAATATGCATACTAAACTTTCCTTCCACATTCTGAAAATGGATACAACCGTATTTGATTTTGCTTCAGCTTTATCTGCAGTTAAGCCATTTATTGCCTCTAGCAATTTTGGTAACTCTCTGAGCACTAAGATCAAATGCATAATATATTGGTCCACTGAAGAAAAGGAAGAAGTCTATAAAAAAAAGAGAGAGATAATTTATTGAATTAGCTTACAGAAGATCTCAGATGTCTTCAGTTAGAAACCCCTGCCTCTGTTCCAGCATAACATTCAAATGCAAACATACTATTCAAAAAGTTTAAACATCAGGTGTGATGGCTAATGCCTATAATCCCAGAACTCTTGGAAGCTGAGGCAGCAGAATTGCTTGAGGCCAGGAGTTTGAGACAAGCCTGGGCAGCACAGTAAGACCCTATCTCCTCTACAATAAACAAACAACACATTTATTAGTTTTTTTTTTCTTTTTTCTACTTACGTTCTTGCTGGAAAACTGCGTCAACTTTACTTTCTATTCCTGGAAAGATACCTGATATGCTTTGGGGATAACCTGGTTCCATGAATTGTCTTTGGTTATCATATCTGGTGAAAACAAAATGTCACCTGATTTAAGACCAATACAGAATATAATAAAAATAATTTAAAAAAATTGTATCTAAGTTACAAAGTCTCCTCACACATACTTTTTCATTCAATTCTCACAGTGTCCTGTTTACTAGGATAAGAATGGTTAGCTTCTCTACCTGAGGGTACATATTTATAAAACTTACAGGTATCACTAATTAAAAACAGGCTTCTGGTAGCGGACACGCTGTTATTTTTTCCGGAGTAAGCTTATGTTTTCAAAGCTTTTACTTAATTGGTATATAGCATAACTCCTTCTGTGTGTGTATATATATAAACATACATAATAGGTTCAACTTGGGAACCAAATTCTGCAGGCTATCTGGGTAACATTTGCTGGTATGTGTCCACATTTAACTCATAAGTGAGAATTAGCCTAAATCTTTCTTCGTATCTCACCCTATCTCTTTGTTAAGGTTTTCTTTGTTTCATGATGCAGAATCCTCAATACTATTGTGTAGACATTTTAATTTTATAAAAATGAAAATTTTCAAAAGCCATGGTAACATCAATCATCTTGTAAAAAAGAACATATTCTCAGTAAAACCCATTAAAGACTACCTAGATTGTTTTAAACCTTTAGAGGTTTGTAGACAGGGTTTGTAGACATGGTAGAGAAACACAGATTTCAACCTATAATTGAAAAAACAGTTTACATTACCTCCAGAATTGGTCATTTACAAAGAAGTATGTTTTACTTTTGTAGAAGACAGCTGCATCAATTGCTTGGACACTGCTGGGGAAGCCATAGTTTGATATATCCCTGGGATAACCTTGCTGAATGTCATAGCCACTCAGAGCCCAGTATTGGTTGCCTGTCAATGATTCAGGTTAAATGTCAAATAAGACTTTTCCATTTTTACAAAATAACATATATATATCACTTCTTGGTCTTGCACATAGACATGAAAATGGAACAAATAGTCTTTAAAAGATGAAGATAATCAAGTTAAGTTCAGGGGGGCTGTGACAGACTTAATGGTTCCCCAGAGACTATAAAAAATGAAAACTTCTCAGCAAGACATTCAGGGCCCCACAATTAGATGTCTTAGTTTATGTGACTTTTATACCTAAACCAAATTACAGCCTTGAGGAGTCTTAGAGGATTATAGCTGGGACGAGGATGGAAGTATGCTAACAACAGTCTAGTATGGTCTCATTTTGTTAGAGAGAAAATTGATGGCTGAAGAGCAAATAACCCACTCAAGTTCACACGGTAGTTGGTGGTTCTGATGGGGCCCAACCCTAGTCTTCTGCAAAAGCCTGGACAGCACTGGACCTTGGAGGGACTACAAAGAAGTCCTGCCCCCTCCTTGCAGGCAGAATAAACATAAGATGAAAATTTTAGGAAGTTACCTTTAAATAGGAAAACAAGATCCCTGTCAAAATCCTCATAAGCAGCCTGTATACCAGTTGGAAGGGATGGCCAGAATAGAGAAATAAAATTCATTTCGACTCTTCGTAGCTGAGGATGCCTTCTCCAGAAGTACCTAACGAAACATGAGGAAACACACACGCACACACTTACATAGTCTAAGTAGGCATTTCCTGTGACTTTCAGGCTAGTGATGGTCCTTGTAGGATTGCTGGGAGAGTATAATCTAATTAACGTAAAATTCCTAGCACTGTGACCACCATATGGCTAAGCTTTATGGTGATATTGTTCATCTGGTGAGTACTTCACAGTTTTCAGAGGAGGTTTCAGGAGTGATCTTATTTGATCACATTTGTCATTGTCCTGCCTTTGCACATTGAAAACTCTTACTTTGTAGTGTCTTCCATTATTGCTTCCACTAAATGCTGAGAACATATTGATAAAAGCAACAGCACATACACTCAGCCTGTAATTGCACAGTCACAAAATAACCAATGGACAAATAAAAATTTCACTCAGTTAGATGTTTGCTGCATAGCTAGTTAAGCAGCAGGTTCCATTTACTTGACTGATTATGGATGGAACTGAATGGTGCTTTGTGTTGAGTAAACTTAACTATGGGATTCCCAAGCAACTGCAGCCCATGTCTGTTTACTCACCAAAGGCATCTGAGTGTTTGTTAATGTTTTCATGTTTACCCAGAAAATACTTGATTGCATAAATCCAGTATAGACATAAAATGGTACAAATCATCTTTAAAAGATGAAGATGATAAAATTAATCTCCAGGTCCTATGATAACCTTAATGGTGCCCCAGAACCTATTAAAAAAATTCCAGTGAGAAGTACAGGTGTAGAATTCAAGGAAAAGGTGATTAACATTGACCTAATTTGAATTCAGTTTTAAGGTATATTAGTAAGAGGAATCAAAGGAATAAATATTTTAATTTTATACTTGTCTTTAAAGAAAAATATTTCTCCACGGAGTGTGGTGATAGCATCAAATGTCAAGCTGGGGTCACAGGATCTGGGTGTGCTTGGTCCAGTAGGTTGGATAGGGTTGCTTGAAGGTCCTGAAAAAGAAAAAAAAAGGTCTTTTTTATAAGCATAAGTCCAGTGCGACTCTTGGGTACATCAGAGACTTCTCAGAAAGGTGAAGGGTCTTCATGTGAAGAAAAGTGCTACCAGACCATATCATAAAGTATGAAGGTAACTGTATATTTCATCTTTTTAAAGTTTTTGTTTATTAAAAGGAATGATGGTTTTTAGGGTCAGTTCCAGGTTAAGCTGTGAAGAAAAGAAATTTGAATTCTATGCTTCTTCTCTCCTTTTAAATTCTAATCCAATCCTTCTCTGACTTCTTAGTTCCTCTTTCTGATTTTTTGGTCACCCAGTATCTATTGCCTCTCTTCTCACAGAAATCCACTTTCAGAGAAAGAATGATATTTGCCTTTTACTCTGTAGAATACATCTAAGTCAAATTTTAGCAATATTTTTCGATAAGTATTTGAATTTTAATGTTTTTTCTCACTGTAGAATGAAAGGCTATAATAATAGTTAACATAAAAACATTGGTGAACAAAATAAGGGGGTGTTGCTGGGGTGGGCAGGAGGAAGAAGTTGGGGAATAGAGGCAGTTAGGGTAGGCTCATCATTTTTGAAAAATCTACAGTCACAAAACAGTTCTCTGGTTGTGGCACCCTGGCATGCTTGCTTGATTTCACAGTGCTGTCCCACCAGAGAGGGGAGAGAGCATTTCCCAATTCCACTCCACTCTGTTCCACTCCATTCAATTCTATTTCACTCCAATCCACCATTCCATTTCATTCCATTCCATTCCACACTTTTTTAGGGAGCAGTAAATCCCTTACTGGTTTCTTTTTTTTTATTCACAGCCAACTAGGGAACAGAAGGGCAAGCGTGAAGAGAGATATAATGAGCTTATTCAGGCAATATGGCAAAAGGCCCCTATACTCATCCTTGAAACGTTATCAGTAATGCCTTAAAAAAAGTTTCTTTTTCCTCTCCATACTCCATGACCATTCCCCTCCTCCTCCCACAGACAACTGTATTAGTATGTTCATATATATATATATATATATATATATATATATATATATATAGTTTGCATGTTTCTTGAAAATGCCTTGCTTTGTTATATACATTTTAAGTTTACATAGACTTACATATTGTGTAATTTAATTAATACATTGTACAATATATCTCATTCTGTTTCTTTTTTCACAAAGCACAAAGTTTTAAAGACCCATGTGTGTTGTTGCCATATGTGCATCTAGTTCCATGCTTCTGACTCCTGCACCTCACTTCATGGTGTGCAGCCACCACATTTTATCTTTATAGTCTTCTCCTAATAGACCCCCAGGTGCCTTCCAATTTCCACCACCACAAACAGCATGGCAGTGAATGTCTTTGGCATGATTTGTACATATGCTCTTATGGACCTATATGAGAATTTCTTTGAGAAATACATCTAGGATCAGGATTGCTGCAGGAAAAGGGATAGTCATGTCTTTTAAAAATATTTAAAATTGCGGCCAGGTGCAATGGCTCACGCCTGTAATCCCAGCACTTTGGGAGGCTGAGATGGGCAGATCACTTGAGGTCAGGAGTTCAAGACCAGCCTGGTCAACATAGTGAAACCCTATCTCTACTAAAAATACAAAAACTAGCCAAGTGTTGTGGCAGGTATCTGTAATTCCAGCTACTCAAGAGGCTGAGGCCAGAGAATTGCCTGAACCTGGGAAGCAGAGGTTGCAGTGAGCCAAGATCGTGCCAATGCACTCCAGCCTTGGCAACAGAGTGAGACTCCGTCTCAAAAAAAAAAAATACAATAAAGAATATTTAAAATTGGAAATCATAAAAAAGAAGAAGAAAATCCCCACCATCCAAAGACAGTAACTGAGGACCACTGTAGTGCATTTCTTTCTAAACTTTTTTTCTTTTAGGTCAGCAATAGAGGCTTAGCCCCCAACAGCCTATTTGTTAATGCTATATTACTGGGGAATTTCAGAGTTAGGTTTTATGGAAACTGCAAGAAGTGCAAAGGAAAAGATATTCGGATACTGGGAGTGTTCGTCTATTCCCAGGTCCCACCATGTACTGCAACAATCTTTAGAAGATCTTACCATAGATGGCCTGAATGCCATTGATGTCATCTTGAGGGAGTGAGTAGGTGCTGGGTTCCCTGAAAGCGTAGTTGGGGTACATCAAGGCACCAGGGTCAGAGGAGTGAGAGAGCCCCAAAGAATGACCAAATTCATGAGCAGCAACAAGAAACAAGTTGTAATCTGAAATGGAAACATGGATGGTAAACAGCTCATTGTGGATCCCAGCGTGGCAGAAACATGATCTCAAGGAGTGCAAATTCCAAGCCAAAACTGCTCAGGGAAATAGCCCTTCCCATGGCTGTCTTTTTCATCTTTCTTTCAGATACCTGAGAAAGCAGATATTGGGAAGAATCAAGATAGATGGGGATAGGTGAGTATGAACTTCTTATAAACTCTTAGAATCCAGAAAAGCTGAATTTATTCCTATTCTCACATTTTACAAATGTGCATGTGAGGCCTGGAGAAATGATGGCAGAGCCATCATGAATTTGGAAACCCTTCTCCTCTTGTGCTCCCACACCCACCATCTTGAGTGTCCCAGACCCTCAGCCTCATGAGTAGACTCCCAGTGAGCAAGTAGTTAAAGAGAAGCCAGCCCGACAGTGGAGTAGCCTCAGATGCAGAGCTGGCTCATGTTGGCTCCCTCATCACCCACAGCTTAGCACCAACTCTTCTGCTCTAGGAATTCTCTAATGGAGACAGACAAACCCTACCTCTTATTGCTCCCTTTCTCTATGTTTTAATTTCCATGAGCACAGTGCCGTTCACAACTGGAAACTTAAAACCTTCCAAGGATCTCAATTCCTATCAAATAAAGCCCAACCTCTTCTGCCTGGCTTTCAAGACCTCCTCCACTTGGCTCCAGCAGATATTTGAGTGTTTGCCTTTTGATGTGAATCCTTGAGTCCAGCCAGTCTACATGCTGCCTCACAAACCCCTGATGCATTTTTGTACATACCTTTTTTTTTTTTTAAAAAAGCTGTTATTGTAAAGTACCTACCACATATGAGGCAATCTAATATTATTTAATCCTCACCACATTTTTCTGAAGTTTTGTTAGCAATATTTCTACTGTAAAGTGACTGATGCCCATAGATTTTGAATAGCTTATACTTGGTCTTGCAACTAGTAAGTGACAGATTGGGGTCAAATCCAGGTATAATGACAAGATCCATGCTCTTTACTAAAATGTTCAACATTCAGTTGATAATTAGCCTACTAAAATTCTCCCCATGCTCTAAAATTTGCTTTCTTATTATCACATCCTTCCAATTATACATTCATGAATGCATTTCAGAAAAACATCTTTGAATACCTGTAATATCATGAAAGGAACTGTGGGCAATTTGTTGTGGTTCCCTGCTCTACAGGGAGTATGTAGTCTAGAAGAGGAGACATGTGTGCAAACAGCTTTGAAAGCACAGAATGAGTGATGATAGAGAAGGAGATACAAAAGCTGTCAGAATTCTGCAGAGGAAGTTCTCATTTCCAGCCCAAGAGAAGATAGAAGGTGGCCTTTAACATACATAGCATGGCAAGATGAGAGAGATTTTAAAAGCTGGGGCATGGGAAGAGTATTTCAGAGAGAAGAGACAATGCTAGCGAATGTGAGAAAGCTAAAAAGCATAGGGTGTGACCTAGAAACAGCGAATGTACGATGTGGGTGTTCACCCAATGTGAATGGTATACGTGAAATAAGAAGACAAGCCAAAAAAGACAAGGATGAAAAATCACCCAGGGCCTTCAATACCAAGTGGAGGTATTTGGACCTTATTTGGTGCAGAATATATAAACACTGAAACTTTTAAGCATGAACGTGATATAATCCAAGATAGGCTCTCTAAAAACAAACCATGCTGCAATCGTAGGAAAAAGTAGAGGGAGCACAGACTAGAGAAGAGGAGTCCAGCTAAGAATCTAGATCATTAGTTCAAGTAAGAAGTAATGATTATCTGAACTAGTGAAGAGGGCAATAGGAATGTAGAGGAGTGGAGAATTGATACCTATCTTTGGCTACACACAGCTCCTAGGCATATGGACTTAGGTAGAATAGACCCTCATAACATACGCATGTTGAGAAAATGGCAGGAGGAACAGGTGCCCAGCAAAGGTAAAAGATGCCTTTCTGATTATCTCCTAAAAGTGCCCTCTGGCATATTGTTACCCCATGTTTTGGGAATTACTACATGGTCTGGATATACCTGTCCTCAGCCTCATTTTTTCCCTTTAGACAGCACAGTCCTTCCTAATAGGAGCCTTCTCCTGAAAGGACTGGCTTGCTGCACAGAAGCATACCACTGAAAAAGGGCTCCACGAAGATGAACTAACTAGGTGAGAAAGAAGGTGGCTGCTTTTTTCTAAATAGACTAATTTCTAAATGAATTTCCCCCAAAAAATGGAAAAATAAGGCTCTTTTCAAACATCACTATATTTGGGAATATGAAAATAAAGATATACCCTAAAGCAGTGGTCAGCAAGCTTTCTCTGTAAAGAACCAGATAGTAAATATTTTAGGCTTTGTGAGCCAAATGATCTATGTCACAATTACTCAGTTTGCCGTTGTAGAGTAAAAGCAGCCATGGATGATATGTAAACAAATAAATGTGGCCCTGTTTCAATAAAACTTTATTTATACAAACAGGGGCCAGGTAGGATTTGGCCATGGTAAATAGTTTTCTGATCTCTGCCCTAAGAAGTAAGGTCAATCGTATTCAGTGTTTTTGTTTGTTTGTTTGTTTTGGTTTTGGTTTGTTTGTTTTAGCCCAAATTGACTTAGTATTTAAGGTAGCAAAAATTTCAAATGATTGCTGTTAGTGAGTTTGAAATATCATGATACCTTTATTTTGTGTGTGTGTGTGTGTGTGTGTGTGTGTGTGTGTGTATGTGTGTGTATTCTAATCTGGAAAAGGTTAATTCAGAAGCTGTGTGTGGACATAATCTTGATTAACCTACTTTCGGAGGTACTGGTCCAGGTTTCTTCTGCATCAAAATGAGCATCTCCTCCAATACCTTGGCCTGGCTGAAAGGCATGAGCAAGGATTCCATTGGGTCCATCGAATGGAGAATTGTCACCATGATCTGAAATAAGAAAATTTGTATTAGATCCTTGCCAAGTTTCAGGTTAGCCAAAGAAAGCAAAACTGAGCATGACTGCTTTACACCAACCTCTTGGGAAAAAAGCAATGTTGATATCTGCCTCTCCCTGTGAGATCCTCGTGAAGGTGAGAGGTGACGGATCACTCCAGATTTTAAAGGCGTTCCCAATAGCTGTTTCTACCTCAGTCACTGACAGCTGTGGCGTATAGTTTATAAACCTTCAAAATGAGAGAAGGTATGAAGAGTTAAATATCATTTAGAACAGTAGTCCATCAACAAATGAGTTGTTCTATTTTGAAGTGAATTGTATCATGATTTGATGCCACTGGAGAGGATAAGGAGGGAGTACAGCGTACAGCTCTCAGGGTGGAGGACAGATGTGGCTTCTGAACAAGTTAACAAATGTCTATAAACCTCAGTTTCCTATTCATAAAATGAGGATACTAAAATAGTATCCCTCTCATAGGGCTGCTGTGGGGATTAAATACATGTAAAGCATTTAGTTCATTACTTGTCAAATAGTAGTATTCCACAAATATTAGATATTATTATTATTATTAAGATGTATGAAAGGAGGGAATAGATTCTCTCCAGCAATGATTAAGCCTTGGTTGGGTCCTAAAGTGAGTGCTTAGAGAGATAGCCTAATATTGCCATAGTCCTCTTTAGGTTGCTGGAGAAGAAGACTGTAATGACAAGCTTTGGAATGCAAAGAACACATGGTATCTCTACATTTTCATTCTCATACTCATTCACTCTTCACACTCTCCAAGGGCAGGAATATTTATCTACTTGTTCCTAGTGTATTCCAAGACCAAGAACAGTATCTGTCATATAAGAGCTCAGTCAATACCGGATGAATGAGTGAATTCTGAAACCCTAGAAATATCACCTGTAGGTCAAGTTAGTTTGTTCCCACTTGGGGTTTCCTGGGGTTATCATAAAATCACCACTGTCAGGCACTCCACAGCGAGGCTGTTTCATCATCTCCAGAGTTTCCGCATCTGGCTTCCCCGTCACATTCAACCCAAAAAATCGCTGCATTTCTTTAAGCTTTTCAACAATCATATTAATGCTGTTCTTCCTTATAGACTGATACTGGTTGCTTGGTAATTGGTAGAACTTTTCCAGGTAGTCCTAGACAAAGACCAGCACATAGGTTCTTGCTGTGAAAGTACTTCTAGTTTTCTGGTCATTTTGCAACCCTTTTTAAGTTACCGTAGAGGTCTAATAACCTGAGAGCCACAGGAACAACAACACAAATTAATTTATAGGTTGACTTTGAGAGAACAACGATTTAGAAAGAACAGTTCCTCCATTCAGCGCTCCAGTTAATGATTATGCATAAAAATAGGTGTCTCATAAGGGATGAGGGTCACATCACGCAGGTGCTACTATACAGTGCTACTATACAGTCAGGTGTCTGCCTTCTTGTTTTTATAAAAAAAGTTAGAACTAACATTAATTGACTTCTCTCGAGGTATTTGTTGCATCAATGCAGTTCCTCTTACCCTCTTCACTACTGTAGAAAAGGCTTAATTATTCTCATGAACAAATGGAGGCACAGAGAAAGAAGGAATTTTCCAAGTGATGATCCAGGTTTTAACTCACCATGTTGCCTCTCAAATGAGAACTGATAACTTCAAAAGAATTCCAAATCTCTTTTAGGGAAATACCAGTATCGATATTAGCATTTTATTCACCAAGGTAACTTTGAACTTTGGAAGGAGCCAGCATTCCTTTGGAAGTGTTAAATTAAGTTTAGTCAAAATCCAAAATGTTTAGTCTAAAAATTACATATTTTGTTTGACTAAAAAGTTTCTTCATGCATAGTGAACTGTAACCTAACTAGACCTCATGTTGCCTGTGAACACCTGGCATCTTGTCAGTATCTTAGTCCATTTTCTGTTATTATAACAGAATATCTAAAGCTGGGTAACTTATACATAAAAGGGGCTTATTTTCTCTCACAATTCTGGAGGCTGGGAAGTCCAAGATCAGGTGACTACATTTGGTTGGCTTCTCAGAGGGTCTTGTGCTGTGTCATAACATGGCAGAGAAATGGAAGGGGAGTGAGCATGTGTGAAAAGGGGCAAAACACAAAGGGTAGTCCCTCTTTATAATACTCATTCTCTTCATAACTAATCCAGTTCTGCAGGAACCAGAACCTACTCCAGCAAGAATTAACCCAGTCCCACAAGCGTGTCATTAATCTTTCTTAATGACCTCAGTACTTCTTAATGGACCCACTGTCACACTGGCTACCAAATCTCTAGCACATAAATTCAAGGGACACACTCTAACCACAGCAGTAGGTGACACTGACCAGAGCACACACTTCTGAATCAGACAGGTTTGGGTTCAAATCTTAGCTCTGCTATGAATTAACTGTGAATGCTTGGATACATTATTTATCTGACTTAAGATTCATTTTTGTCTCTGAAATGGAAATAATAATGCTTTCCCCCACCCCAATATGGTTCTTGTGAGGATTAAATGAGATATTTGTGAAATATGTAGCAGTTGCCTTGTACAGAATAAGCACTCAATGGATTCTACATTAATCTGCAGGTTACGATTACAATTGCATGGGATAACCTCCCCTACTAAAAAAGCAAAATAATAATGCTTTCCCCAAACGGTAATGTTAAGAAAACTGTGCATGTGAGATTTGTGACAGAATTCCCTTGTGTTTCTTAAAAATTTGGCCTCACTTTCATACTGTGAAACAATAGAAGAAAACTATTGGTCTGCTTTTATAATGCTTCTAAAAGTTTATAAACAGTCCACAATCTGAATCTGGTGCTGGGAAATGTGATTATACTATTAACTGATTTCTAATTCATTATTATCTCCCATCCTCACATTCTCTTCTAAATCTGGAAATTTTGGCGGCAAAGAAAATGCCTATATGGAAGCACCAGACATATAGTAACTTAATTGCAGATATCTTAGAAGGAAAAATATTAGATAAATGAGAAAGAAAATGATATCATTTTATAAATAAAACCATTTATTATAAAAAATTTTCCAAGCTAGCTGTAGCTCTACTGTGGTACCCCCATGTAGGTACCAAGGAAGGAGAGCTAAGCAGAATCCTGGCACAATTAAGGCCTGAAGAATATCTCAGTTATTTCCCTTTCTATAATCCACTGTGTGTGTATATATATATATATATATATATATATATATATATATATATATATATAGTTCATAGAATGAGTACCTGAAGAATATCTTACCACTCAGTTATTTCCATATATATATATAACTGTATCTTAGTTCATAATCAGAGGAATGCCTAGAGTAGACACAGTACAGAGCATTAATTAAGGAATAAACAGCTTATAGTCAGAGGAATGTCTGGAGCAGGCACAGTGCAGAGCATTATCCAAACAGTTATACCAGCACAAGAATCCATAGCCCAGGCAGTAGCATTCAGTATCGTAAAGATACCCACTGTACTGGCAGGCTTGGGGCAAGAGCCACTCCTCCTGATAAAGCAGGTGTAGGACTTTGCTCCAGTTCTTATGGAAGGCTGCCCTCAGACTGGCAATCCCTTGAGCATCCGAGGGCTCAAAGCCCTTCCAGATAACCGCACCTTGGTGACCGTGAAGTTTATCAGCTCTTGTTACTGTGCTGCCCAAAAAGCATCCTCCTATAGAACTCATTGGAAGCTGCCAGCAGGTAGTGGTAGACCCTGACAGCGCTGTAACTGCTGTGGACTTAAGCATCCTCCTATAGATCTTCTTAGGAGTAGCATGCCCATAGATAGAGGTATTGCACACTGCACCCTCTTCACTGCACACGGCCCACCTCCATACCTTGGTGACCTAATGGGGGTGAACCTCTTACTGCACATGGCCCACTTCCTTGCCTCGATGACCTAATGGGAATGGACCCTTCGCTGCTGCACTGTGCACCTCCTAGCCTAGGTGACCTAATGGGGGTGGACCCCTTGTTTTATTGCTCATGACCCTATTACTATCCTTAAAGATGACTTCACTCACTGCCCTGCCCCCTAACCTATACACAATAAATACAGATGCTTCTGGACATTCCAGGCCTCGCCTGTCTCTGCTTATAGGTGGCGTGGCCCCCCATGAGCCCAGCTGTGTTTTCCTTGGTACTTCTGTGTCCTGTCTCTTTATTTCTCAGATACTGCTCCTCAGCACAGCATAAGGGACACCCCACCACCCTGTGGGGCCCTTAGCCCTACATTCTACAGTAGCATTTTCCCAGCCTTTAAAGAAATCAGCTTGTTTTCATGCCCAGCTTTTAAAGGCCTAGTCCTTACCAGCTTGGAACCCTCCAAATCACTAAAAGAAGATGTTCAGCCTCAAACTAATCTAAATAATTTCTTTCAGGCTGTTTTAACTAAAAGAGAAAACAACCCACACTATTTTCTAATAATCAGCAAATCAACCACCACCTAACTGATAGTTCATTTACCTGAACAATTTTTGTATCTTTCTCCTTAAAAGATACAGGAAAGGCCTTGGAAATCTGCACATGGAGTAAGAGCAGAAATGGAAGCCTCTTCAGACAGAACATGATCTTCTCTTCAAACACTACCAACCCTGGCTTTCTCTTTGCCCTTTGTGGTAGGGTCCTTCCCTGGCAAGCACCCTGAGGTTCACAGGATCACGTGCCGCTCACAGCTCTCTCAGTCCTCTTTAAAGCCATGTCTTAAACAATTGTTGCATCAGGAATATGAAGCAACATGGTTAATTACACTCTGACAGTTTTGCAACTTTATAATGTGATTTAGTATCTCAAAATGGGGGAGTCTTTCAACACTCCAACTTTCTACTCTTTGCTTTGGGTGTTTTAGTTATTTACTTTTACAAAATTGGTCGAGGAAAAGGAACAGGAGACTAATCCTGAAGTTACGTGGATACATTTTCTGGTTATATAAGATGCTGAGGCTGAATTAACTTATGCAGGGGGATATTCTGAGGTTTGTGGTAGATACTTTGGGACCAAGGAGGCCAACTAGAGAATCTCAGTACTTATCCTCCCTCATTGTATGTGGGGAGAATGAATGACTGAGTGTACTATTAAAAAGCAGGCTTTGTACGGGGGCCTAGAGCTGCTTCTGGAGGATGTGGTTTGGCATCAATGTATTAGAAAATCCCTAGTCTATAAGCTAGACTTTCCATGGAAAAGATATAGAGAACAATACTGCTGATGATAATAATGAACATTTGCTAAAAATTTATGATTTCTCAGGCATTAGTACTGCACCCCAATTCATCTTCGCACAGCTTTGGGAGGGAGATGCTATTACTGTCTCCATTTTACAGATAAAGTCAAATCTAGAGACATTTAGATGACTTGTTTAAGTCACATGCTTAGTTTGTGGAGGGGCTAGGATTCAACCTCAGAGGGTATGTTTAGAGAGACTGAGCTGGCGGCTACTACAGGCTCTTTCTTCATGGGAGTCTCCCGCTTGAGTCTCTGGCTGGCCCGTAGTGGAGCAGTAGCTCTAGGCCTGCAACAGCTGGATACTTTGGCTTATATTCACGAGGAGAAGACAAGGGAGCAGGGAATGAGACGTTGTACATCTTCAAGGAATAAGACACTGAGAGATTTCCAGATAATATGGCTACATAGAAGACTATTGGTCAGAGGCTCCTGGCCATGCTTTTCAAATCGTGTAACCTGGTCCCACTTATTCTGACTCCACATGCATGTAGTTTGTTACAATACACAGTCTTTGTGAATATTCAGTTACTTATATGTATACATATTTGGCAAAGGCAGGTATTTCTGTGTATAAATGCATATGTCTACATAAATGATACATAACATGTACTAATATGTAAAGAGTGTCTTTGAGATGCTATGATAAGGAGGTCAGCTCTTTCCTGAGGTCACTTAGGAACTTTGAAAATGGTTCAAAGAAATACATCCTGGGTTAGAGTATATCTGGACAGCAGATTAATTGTTGATGATTTAAATGTTTGATGCAATGACTGGTTACAAAGTTCATAAATGTACTTTTTTCTGAACATAACAGCAAGTGATTTAATTGAGAATCTAAAACTTTGGTAAATTCAGTTTTTGGTGTTTGTGTAAATGCCATATTAAAAAATTGAACTGGTGGGTCTGGATCTCCAGCAGCAGGTCCAGCCCTGGTGCAGTGGTGGAGAAGGCTCTGGCATCTGCTTCGGGGCTGCAGCTTGTGCTTTCTGAATCCTTTCTCCACACCTGGCCACTGTCCATGGTGTCTGTTTCTCACCCACTTCTGGTCCCTGGGACTGACAGTTCTCTCAGGCTCTCTCCCTCAAAAATCAAATCAGTCATTTACACTTCACTGTGAACATATGAGTTGTCTGTTGAGTAGATCTCTTGCCAGAAATAACAAGCAAACAAGCAAACACATTTTTTAAAATGAAGGCATTGTTCATTAAAATATGAGTTTCAGGGAAAATTAAGAAGATCAAAGAAATTTAGTTTGAAGAGAAAAGATGCAAGGCAATGTAGGATTTTTCTTTCCCTTTAATACTAACCTCCCTCCTGCCCCATCAGCAACAGCCTATTCTCATAAAGATAAAGATATTCTTATAAGGATGAGGATATAGCAACATAGCAGGTGTTCTATAGCAACATAGCAGGTGTATTTTTACAGCTCTGTTTGGCTTTCTAGGCCCAAGGAGATAACACTGATTGCATAGATACAGTCTGTTTTTCTTTAGTTATAAAATGAAGGATGGGTTGAACCAGCTGGGGTGAGCACGTGTGCCTGAATCTTGAATGATGAGCAGGAGTTGCCCGTGGGGAATGTGATCCAGTAGAAAGAACAGTGTCCACTAAGCACAGAAGTATACTCAGTGAAGCCACAGCTCATTTGATTCACATAAGCCAAGGTAAATTGTCCTCAGCTTCATGCCTTTTTGAACTCTAACAATTAGAATGGATGTCCATATAGCCTGATCAAGTTAACAGGATAATTGTTGGGGCCAGTTGTGGTGAAAGGTAAAGAGTATTCAGGTTAAAATTAATCTTACTGGGTTCAAATTATAGTCCTGTCACTTCCCACTTATGCAGCTTTTGTCAAATCTAAGTTCTGAGGCTCAATTTTCATACCTGTAAAACAAGTGCATTAACATCTCCCTTACAGGTCATCAGGAGATGACATGATATCATAAATGGAAAAAGTTTGTGTAGACCCTTCACTGTGGTGTCCTCTTTGTATTATGAATGTGGTGAAATTATAGCCATGTTGGTTCATGTATCCATTCTGGGAATGAGTTAGCAATGCTGAAAAGTTCTCCTTTTTCAGAAGGAGAAGTGCTTCTAAGTTAAGCCACCCAGTGAAGTAACTTCCATGGAGCTTCCTTTAGTAGCTGGCGTTCAAGTTCAGCCAGGGAACATATGTGTGTCACTCACATCCTTTTCACAGAGTATAAATGTATACACTCAGATCTCACAAGTCATTATGGATTAATCACTATGCTAAGGTTTAGACCAGGCATCCCCAAACTTTTTACATAGGGGGCCAGTTCACTGTCCCTCAGACCGTTGGAGGACCGCCACATGCTGTGCTCCTCTCACTGACCACCAATGAAAGAGGTGCCCCTTCCTGAAGTGCGGCGGGGGGCCGGATAAATGGCCTCAGGGGGCTGCATGCAGCCCGCGGGCCGTAGTTTGGGGATGCCTGGTAGACATTCAATATCTGTTATCTTCCTTAAGCTTCATAACAACCCAGAGAAGTAGGCGTTATTATCCCTATTTTAAAGAAGAAAACAGATTCAGAGATATGATTCAAATTTACCTTTTCATTTATTCTTCCTAGTAATCTCCTTTGTTCTCCCAATGAGGGAATTTTTTTTTTAAAGTGATTATTCTCAGTCTTGGCACTACATCGGAATCTATACTAAAAATACAAGTAGTCTCCTTTCATGGGCTAAATGTTGTGTCCCCCATCCCCAAATTTACATGTTGACATCCTAACTCCCAGTGTGATGGTATTAGGAGGCCTTAAGGAGGCAAGTCCTTATGAGTGAGATCAGTGTCCTTATGATGGAGACCCCGGAGAACTCTCCTGCCATCTTTCCACCACGTGAGGATCCAATGAAAAGTTGGCAGCCTGCAACCCAGAAGAGAGCCCTCACCAGAACCTAACCATGTTAGCATGCTGATCTGACTTCCGTCCTCCAGAACTGTGAGAAATAAATACATTTCTGTTGTTTATAAGCCACTCAGTCTATGGTACCTTGTTTTGGCAGCCAGAACAGACTGAGACAGCTCCACTCCAGCTACTGAATCAGAATCTCTAGGGTGCAGCCCAAGCATACAGAATTTTAGAAAGCATCCCAGGTAACGATGAGGATGAGTTGATAACCTCTATTGTAAGGGACGATGGAGAATATACAATAAGAGAGGTAAAAAGTCATGTTTTAGGATTTAAAAAAGGAACAATCATATTCTACTGGGGATATCCGCAAAGGTTTTGTGGGGGAGGTGGCCATTGAGATAAACTTTGAAAGATGGGTTGAATTTTGGCATTGAAATTAAGCTAAATGAGGGTGGGATTAGAAGAAGTAAAAAGTGAAGATATTGTTTTAAGAAATCTTGGATTATAAAGTGAAGAATAACAAGGCTCTGAGGGAATGAGCACAGAGTATATAAGGAGAAGCACATGGGAATGGTAGTCTAGAGCCAGATAGTGGAGGGGCAGGAATTAAATATCAAAAAACCAGCAATGCGCAGACATTGTTGGTTTCTGAGCCATGTAAAAATCAATGCTGACTTACCAAAACTAACCTGGCCACAGTATATAGGATAGACTGGAGTGAGGAGAGGTTATAAATAAGAACAATTAAAAGGTGGAGTAAGAGTTTAAGTGAAAGGTCATGAGGACTTGGTTCCAGGGAGTGGTCACAGATCTTCCTCTTGGTGTAGGGATGGATGGTGAAGAAATGAGATTGAGGAGGACGGGAGGGAACCTGGGTCATCACACCATGCCTCTCCAAGGAGCAGCAATTCACATCACAGAAACACATGGAGAAAATTAAAATTGTCTTGAGGCTGGGCACGGTGGCTCATGCCTGTAATCCCAGCACTTTGGGAGGTTGAGACAGGCGGATTACCTGAGATTAGGAGTTCAAGACCAGCCTGACCAATATGGAGAAACCCTGTCTCTACTGAAAATACAAAATTAGTCGGGCGTGGTGGTGCATGCCTGTAATCCCAGCCACTTGGGAGGCTGAGGCAGGAGAATTGCTTGAACCTGGGAGACAGAGGTTGCGGTGAGCCCAGATTGCACCATTGCACTCCAGCCTCGGCAATAAGAGTGACACTATGTCTCAAAAAAAAAAAAAAAAAAAAAAAAAAAAAAAGAAAAAGAAAAAAAAAAGTATTGTCTTTGGAGTCAAAGAGTTCTTTTGAGGATGGCAGATGGAGTCAAGGCTAAAGGTGGAGCTGAAGGAAGTGGAGACTTGAGAAGCTGTAGTAGTGAATTTGACCCACAGATGATGCTGTTTAAAATGCCTGCTAAGCAGTCGTGATGGTCCAGGCAAGTGAGAGAGTAGTTAGAGTGAGCATAGAGGATCTCATTCATGTGGTGTTGATCAGCCCTAAACATTTCCGTTTCTTCCCCTACATCTA